GATCTTTGATTGCATTGGCTACTTGCATCACAGCAGCCCCCACAGTAGATTTTCCCACTCCAAATTGATTCCCGATTGACCGGTAGCTGTCTGGCGTTGCAAGCTTCCACAGGGCTATTGCCACTCGCTTCTGAACTGTGAGGGCTGCTCTCATCTTGGTATTCTTGCGCCTCAGGGCAGGGGAAAGCAAGTGTCAAAGTTTCATGAAAGTGCCCTTATGCATGCAAAAGTTTCGCAGCCACTGGGAATCGTCCCAGACCTGCAACACTATGCGGTCCCACCAGTCTGTGCTTGTTTCCCAAGCCCAGAATCGGTATTCCACTGCATGAACTGCCCCATTAGCACCATGATGCCCACATTGCCAGGGCCCGTGCTTTGAGAGAAGTCTGTGTCCATGTCCTCATCACTCTCGTCACCGCGCTGACATCGCCTACTTGCCCAGTTTCGCTTTGCCAGGTTCTGGTGCTGCATATACCGCTGGATAATGCGTGACGTTTAATGTGCTCCTAATTGCCAAAGTGATCTGAGCGGATTCCATGCTTGCCGTGGTATGGCGTCTGCACAGAAAAAAGGCGCGGAACAATTGTCTGCCATTGCTCTGACGGAGGGAGGGGCGACTGACGACATGGCTCACAGGGTTGACTTACAGGGAATTAAAATCAACAAAAGGGATGGCTTTGCAAGAAACAGAATGGCCCCCTCAAGGATAGAACTCAAAACTGGGTTTAGCAGGCCGTTGATTTCACGGAGGGAGGGAGGAGAAAATTAATAGAAAACAGATCTGGTCTATTTCTTGTTTTGATCCACTTCATCTATCTTTATACATCTTGCTGGCAGCAGACTGTGCAGTACGACCGCTAGCCATTGTCATCTCCTGGGTGCTCGGCAGAAGACGGTGCAATATGACTGCTGGCCATCGTCTTCTGCTGGCTGCAGATTAAAAGACTGAATCGCCATGAAACAAAACTTAAAAGGGAAATGACTTGGCTGAATCACTTCCATGTTTGCCCAGGCGCCCCTGACCTCATCGAGGTCGTTTAAAAGAGCACCCTGGACTATGTCGACGACGGCTACCAGTCATACTGCAGTGTCTGCTGCCAAAAGGCAATAAACTGTTGCTGTGTAGCAATGCAGTACCGCGTCTGCCAGCACCCAGGAGACATACGGTGACGGTTAGCTGAGCGGGCTCCATGCTTGCCGTGGTGTGGCGTCTGCACAGGTAACTCAAGAAAAAAGGCGCAAAACGATTGTCTGCCCTTGCTTTCATGGAGGGAGGGAGGGAAGGGGGACATAACGATATGTACCCAGAACCACCGGCGACAAAGTTTTAGCCCCATCAGGCACTGGGATTTCTACCCTGTATTCAAATGGGTGGCGAAGACTGCGGGAACTGTGGGATAGCTACCCACAGTGCAATGCTCTGGAAGTCGATGGTCGCCTCGGTACTGTGGACACACTCCCCCGACTACATGCACTTAGAGCATTTGTGTGGGGACACACACAATCAACTGTATAAAAACGCTTTCTATAAAACTGACTTATATAAATTCGACCTAATTTCGTAGTGTAGATATACCCTGATACTATAAACACTTTCCTCTGTCCCAAATTACGTTCTACCAGAACAATTCTCTGGTCAGTCATGCTGCATCCTCCCATAGTTTAGATATTTATGAGAGAAGATTGCCAGACTTTCAGGCACTAATTCTTCCCACTGACACAGCTGGTCCTCATATCCATTAAATGCTTGATAACCTATTCCTTCTGGCTGCCAGATCAAACAAGGGGAATCACCTGGCTGATTTAGGGCACCATTGAGAAGATGCCCTATCATTCAGCAGACCTTGACTGGTAAATTAAGGTAGGAGCTTATGGGGAAAACAATGGCTAGCTGCAGCTATGCCATCTTTATCAATTCCCAGACGAACTATATTAAAATGGAGTTAACGTTAAGAGTAATTTAGTGTAAAATACGTTACGGGGATGGTGTAATTGTTACAAAACAATGCAGGAAATTCAGACAAGGTTAAATATAAATCAAAATATGTTAAGGTACAGAAATGCACAGTTTGGGCATTCAAATAGCCTTCACTCTGCCCAGTAGTGGTACCATGCAACAACCATATATGTTTATGATTGAAGTATTTTAGTGTTTGTTGTCCCAGAATAAACTTGGTGCTATGGGTAGTTTTTGAAAACAAATATTTAGAATTAATGGTAATTTTTACCATTAGTCTTCATTACTGAAAGTTTCTCCTTCCACATGTCCACTGTCTCTCTTATTATCAGTGGGACTGAGGCCACAGGCTTCCCTCTGTTAAGATGCCCTCTTTCAAAATAGCTACTGCCTCCAATTGTTCCTAGTGGTAATTCAGACAAAGTGGGGAAGACAATGGCCCCCTGCACTGTCAGCAGGCAGAGAGGAATATGGTAAGTGGAGGAAAATGGAGGAAGTGGCCATCTGTGCCCAAGGACAGCCTCTGGCTTCAGTCCCAGCAATAGGAGATGGCAGCTGTTTGAAAGAGAACAATTCTTGGCGGAATTATCTGAAGTAGAATGAAAAGGAGTACTTGTGGCATCTTAGAGACATGCCCCTCTGCCATGTACATTGGCCAAACTGGACAGTCTCTACGTAAAAGAATAAATGGACACAAATCAGACGTCAAGAACTATAATATTCAAAAAACAGTCCAAGTACACTTCAATCTCTCTGGTCACTCAATTACAGACCTAAAAGTCGCAATATTACAACAAAAAAACTTCAAAAACAGACTCCAGTGAGAAACTGCTGAATTGGAATTAATTTGCAAACTGGACACCATTGAATTAGGCTTGAATAAAGACTGGGAGTGGATGTGTCATTACACAAAGTAAAACTATTTCCCCAGGTTTATTTTTCCCCCTACTGTTCCTCACACGTTCTTGTCAACTTCTGGAAATGGCCCACCTTGATTATCACTACAAAAGGTTTTTTTTCTCTCCTGCTGGTAAAGCTTACCTTACCTGATCACTCTCATTACAGTGTATATGGTAACACCCATTGTTTCATGTTCTCTGTGTATATAAAATCCTCCTACTGTATTTTCCACTGCATGCATCCAATGAAGTGAGCTGTAGCTCACGAAAGCTTAAGCTCAGATAAATGTATTAGTCTCTAAGGTGCCACAAGTACTCCTTTTCTTTTTGTGGATACAGACTAACACAGCTGCTACTCTGAAACCTGAAGTAGAATGTTATTCTTTAGTCTCTGCTGAAGGAAAAACTTTCAGTTATGTAGAATAATGGCAAAGTATGACCATTAATCCTAAAAAATATTTTTCAAATGTGGTCTATACACAAGACTTCAGTGAGTTAATTATATGGGAAGCTTGAAGAGTCTGTTTTTTCATTACTGAGTTCTTTCAGGCTAAACCATGACTGACATCAGCTGCTAAATTTTTAAAAGGACACATTTTAAAATTAATTTTAATTCAATTTAATTAATGGATTTGTAATTTGTCAAAAATGTATTCTGTAACTCAAAGATTAAGTGCTATAATTTTGGGAGAATATGCTGCATTTTTTTTATACATAAAGTGTTTGGCATCTTGCTTTAAGTGCAAAATTCAGCTAATTCTTAACTATGGATATTCGACTAGTGTTTCCATAATACTAAAGCAGAGTAAATCCATTTAGAATCAGAGTAATCTATTCAGTGATTTTGGGATCTCAAGGTGCTCAAGTATCACATTGAAGATTCACAGATACCAGGGTGGGAGTATAATATAGAAACCTAGATGTGCATTAAAGTCCTACACTAGTGTGTCACAAATCTAGGATATCCTAGATTTTGCATTTGTACCTTCAATTTGGCTGAAAGATGTGGAAAATAAGTTGCCATGGAGCCTTGTAATAGCTGCATAGAGGATGCGATTTAAGAGCATACATTAATCCTTCCAAAGTTAGAACAAATTTAAGAAGCATATATTAACAAACTTCTCTTTAATGTCAACTGTTGACCAAACTCACTGTAGTCTAATGCTCTGTCATCACAAGACAGAGGGTATGATGGTCTGACAAGCCACATGTTCTTGAGGATGGCAAAGTATACTTACTGGATATGGTTAGCTCCTCAAATGATTAATTTGCCACATGTTTTGATGCTACTGGTGTATAGTGCGTATGTCAGAGTAGAATTTAGTACTGTTTTCTAAATATGTGCAGAAAATAAGATAAAAGAGAGGCTGTAAGTAGCTGGATTTTTACTTGTATCTAAACATGGCATTCAAATGTTAATTGGATGAATAAATCTTGTTCATTTTACAGACACAAAAATGTCAGTGGATTAGCACTATTTATCACAGGATAATGGTCTTCTGACACCTGATAAATGCCAAGATGAAGCTACTTATTGGAAATAGATCAAAATATTCTATTGCTATTTGTCAAAAACAAATATTGAGATAAAATTGACATGCTTATTTTCAAAGTGCTTGACACTAATCTTATATCATAATTCTATTTTAACTCCACAAGTAACATACAGGACATAACAGTAAATACTGTATGAATACAGTAGGGAAAAAAGTCTGCAGAACACTAAAAAGTATTAACCTTTTGTTTATGTAATTTTGTTTCTCATTCATGATTTATTTGTATTTGTGAAATATTTGATAATAAAAATATTTTGCTCTTATATATCATTGGTTCAAGGAGCTCAGCTTTACACAACATAATTTAGCCTCACAGCTATCTTATAGTGTGTTAGCTAAATTATTCTCTCCATTTTACATGTAGGGAAACTGAGCAGCAGATAGTTTAAGGCATAATTTTAAGTGCACATACAGATCAGGATTTGAGCTGTGCTACTTGGGAATTACTGGCACAGAATTTGACCAGTTGTTTTTGCTGTTGTCATGTCTGTTTTGATCTTCAGATAATCAGTATTTTTCAGGTTTATATGAAGCATTCTGTATATTTAATACAAGATCACTGTGAGAGTATTGTGTGTGTTTTTACAGATGGAAGACCTTTAACTCTAGATGAAATTTGGGAAGGCGTTCATGAATGCTACCGGGCTCGTCTACTGGAGGGGCCCTGGGACACCATTACACAACAGGTTAGATGCTACTGTTCTTTTACAGTATGGAATTCATTTACCAAGAGACTAGATAGCATTAGATTCACCGATTAAAATAGAAGAGGCTTTGTGTGTATTGTGCAGTGATTCACAGGTTGGCTACTAATTACGTTATCAAGAAGACTGAAGTGTAACTTTCTATTCAAAATAAACTAATAATTTGTTAAATTGAAGGACAAAGTTAGTTTGTTAGTCAAATAATCTGTTATTGCTGACTAATGTGTTTAAAAGTCAGTACTTAATTGAAGTCAGTGTTTTAAAAGAAAAAGTAGCTCAATACTATACGTGTTACTTGTTTTACTATCCTCTGTTAAAGGTGATCAAACCGCCTATATTTTAAATGGCATTAAAAGTCACTAGAATTAGTATTGTTCCAATACAGTTATGGTCTTTTCTCAAGAATCCAATAATTGCCCTCTAGAAAATGGTCTAGATTGTGCATGACAAGGATGGGCCTTGTGGTAAGGCTCTAAGCAGGACTCAGGAGATCTGGATTCAGTTTCTGGCTTTGCCACAGGCCTCCTATATAACCTTCAACATGTTATTTAGTGTCTGTATTATTGTAGAATCTCCATGTCTCAGTTCGCCACTGTAGAATTAGGAGAATACTACTTGCTACCTCATCCCCACCTCCGCCCCATCCTTTTGTCTGTCTTGTCTATTTAAGTATAAACTCTTGAGGGCAAGGACTCTCTCTTACTCTGTGTTTGTACAGTGCCTAGCTCAGTGAAGCCCTGATCTCAGCTGGGGCCTCTAGATGCTATCATAATACAAGTAACAAACAATAATGAATCACATTCATAAAAGATGCACAGGCATGGGAATTTGAACTATGTTCATGGTTGCACAGTCCCAAACTATTCTCATTCTTTGTATCACAGCAGTGCTTGGGAGACCCCAACTGAGATTGTATGTATGCTGTTTGTTGTGCACTTCTAGGTATTGCCTGTGAGTCTGCAAAATACAGCTGTTAATAAGTACCTGTAGTCAATGCATTAGTTAGTGGGACCTGTCCACTGCAGACTAAGGATGAGCAAATCAGAATTTAATAAAATCTGGTAGCAGATAACCTGGTCTTCTCCTGTGGATATCACAGTTCAAGCTGTAAATTCTCCTCATTTAAAGCTGGATAGTGACTAGTTCTGCTTTGGGTGAGAACAGTGCAATTTGCCTTCCCTTACGCTTATTTGACAGAGCTAGGATCACCCTCAGTCCTTGCATTCCCAGTGCACAAGGACCTGAGGCTCTAATGCCAGCAACCGTGCTAGGAACCCCTTAGGGCTAGGCGTGGAACAGGCCCTTTCCTGTACTTTCCAACAGAGCTGTCCTGGCGTGTAGAACGAGTGCATGCTATAACCTGTATAAATGCGTAGCAGAAGCCTCTGCTGTGTGCACTCCATAAGCAATGTGCCTTCCTAGGTGCTGCACCTCTACACTTCCCCTACCCGTGGGCTGTTGCTTAAAGCCACAATCAAATCTTTTGTGAAAAGAACAGTGTATGCCACACCTACAGCTATATAGGAGGAGTAAATTGTAATAGAAATGTTTCTGAGAATAAAGGAAGTTTCAGTGACAGAATATGTATGTACTGTGTAAAATTAGAATAATGGAAGCCGTGACGAAGTAGGGAGTGGGGAGTATTGACCTGGGAATGTTGCGTGGGAGTTTTACTGGTACTGTCTGCATTGGTGCTGGATGGTGGTGGGATATCTGGTTGTGACTTCACCTGAGGGATGATATGTGAGCACGTAATCTGAGCCCAGGAGGGGGTCGGGGTCAGGGCCAGGGCCAGGTGACACCTTCTGCCCGGGAAACGACAAAGGCTGGAGGAGGAACCAGGGTGTGTGGCTGGGTGAGACTGCTGGAGGGGGTTGCAGTTTGGAGCTGGCTGGGGAAACGGAGGTAGGTCCAGCACCGGGGTCTGAGCTCCCTACCCCACAAGATGGATCTGACTGAGGGGTCCCGTTTTCTATAGCTACAAGTTCTGTTTTGGACTGTGTTCCTGTCTAATAAACCTTCTGTTTTATTGGCTGGCTGAGAGTCAGGGTGAATTGCAGGAAGTGGGAGGTGCAGGGCCCTGATTCCCTCACACTCCGTGACAGAAGCCAAAAACAAAGATGATTTTTACCTGTAAAGGAGCAATGAAATAAAACTGCCTGGAGATATAGAACACCAAATGTTGTGCATGAAACATGCACATACACACAGGCTTGTGGTAACAGGCTTTTTGGCTGGTAAAATATGCTATGCATTGAAGCTAATGTCTTTGTGGCATCTTTCCAGGAATAATACACTACATCTTAGTCCAATGTCAAGAGCCAACTTAAATATCAGGGGAAACCATTTTGCAAAACAGAGACAGTTATAGCAGCAAGATATTAATTGAATATAATACTAAGGTGATTTCCTATGAAATAGGGAAATTGCAGAATGAGTTTAACTCTCTTTTCAGGAATAATACAGACTATGGGCCTCAAGGTGATGGCTCAAGGGAATTCAGACATCAGTGTGATACCGGGATTGCTGGCAATTAGGGGCTAAGCCCCACCAATAAGACTATTAATTGTTTTGGATATATATTTTAATAGTTTTATACTTCCATTAATTTTCTGTGCAATATGTTCTCCCTAAGGCTGAGTTTGCCACTGGTTTAAGACTGGAATTCCATTGAATTCAGCATGGTTGCACCACTTCACAGAAGTAATGAACTTGGTTCAAAGTCTCCAGCTGCACCCTGGTTGTGAAATGGGGTACTGATCCTGCTGAGTCCCTCCTTTCTGTGTATGGCTATGAGTGAGAGCCTGCAGGAAGAGCAGATTTCTATGTGTGGTGGTGTTAATTTTAGATTAATCCAGAGAGAAGCTGAGTGTTGAGGGCTCATTAACACATTATTCAGCCTCCTTTGGTCTGATTGAAAAACAATGGGAGTCAAGTGGGAGGGAAGGAACCAGGGCAGTTAGTGGTGTTGCCAACACTATCACATCTTTTTAGTGCCAGCTACCTCCACTGTAACAAACATTTCCCCTTGTAAAACTGGGAGATAGGTATGCCAGACCAAATATAAAAAACTACCATACAAATAAGACTATTCACAAAGGAATTGCAGAAGGTAATAAACATACTAAGCAATTGCCTGCTAGTCTTAACTCCAAAACAAGAGCTAGGACTACAAGAAAGTCTTTTCTGGATCTGAGAGTTGAACCGACATGCACCCTTCTCTGTCTCCTGTCTGCTTATCTGGGCTGACACACTTGATCACATGAGATAGATTTAACTAGTTAGGGACACAGTTCACTTGGTGGATGTCATATGCTATCTCACCAAATCAAACTCAAAACTCTCAATATGCCATGAACAGCAATCAGAGAAAGTTCATGGTACTCAGATAAATCAGAAAAAGTTCTATGAACCATTCACCATTCCAACATGAACAAAATTTGAGCAAATCACAGCTGGTTCACAATGCTATTTGAATTCAAACTAGGGCTAATTTTGATATTTTGGATTCAGTAGTTGATATACTACTAGTAGTAGGAAGTCATATCAAGCTTCATTTGTTTTACATATTTAGGATTCAGCTCCATTTTAAGAAACTGGGGCTTGTATTCTAGGAGTCTTAAAAAATCTTGCTGCTATACTTTGCACATATGTGATGCAATGTCAGTGATTTACAAGCTGTGTGATTAAATGCAGGCATATATCTGAAACCAGCACCCGAGATATGAATCAGGCCTGTAAGAGTATAGCTGTAATGACTAGGATGTTGGAGCATATGGTTAAGGTAACCTTTAAACTAATTTCAGTTACTTTAGATTCATTATGGGAAGTCATGTTCACTTGCTGAGGAATTATCTTGAAATATTTTTTATTGACTAGCCTGTTTTTTATTGCATATTCATAAATAAATTAGCTCGATAAGTTGCATCGTGGTTTATAATGATAGTTGATAAACTGTGATGATTTAATTGCACTTCCTCTTGTAATAATCTTTAAATCTGCCATCTGAAGTTCCAGTGATTGGCTTTCTTCCGTACTAAATCTCCCTGGAATTTTCAGTCATCCCTTTTCTACATCACCCGATAAGTTGCTTTAACTGCTCCCGTTTTAAATAATACAAATCAATTATACAAACACACAGCTGTTTAACGAAACTTCTAAATGTTGCTACAGGTCTCTGTGGGTATTTCCTGATGGCTCATAATGACATCAATTTAGCACACCTGGTAAGATCTGTGTGAATTGGAAGTGACTTAATGTGGCAATGACAAGAAAATTAAGTAGTATTTATGGATTACTGATGCTTTTTCAGAATTGTTGCCAACTCTAATTTTGGCTTCTGTTAAAGTCAGTAATGGAGGTGCAGACATCACATGATTACGTCCTAAAAAGTTTAGTGTTAATTTGTTGAGTGTTTTCACGGGTATCTTATACCAGTATTTCCCACCAGTTCTTATATTTCAGGAAATAGTCCCTTCTCATCTTTATTAGAATTAGTGGATTCTTGAAATCCATTCCTTCCTGGAAGCTCGACGTCTCCAAACATAATTCCATTGTACTTATCTTGAGCTGTAAGCAAACAAAGCTTTCCTCAGCTCTATCTCAACTGAATTCTCTTTCTGAGTTTAATCCAGAACAGAATCCCAGACCTGCTTTCTGATGTGTAACCATTCTTGACAATGTTACAGCGTCATCCTTCGGAATCCCAAATCTGCAGATTTTCATTCCATCACAGAGGAATGTTCCTTCGTCCTACGTTTTGTTTCTTCTAGCATTATTGTTGTTTAAAATGAATTGTTAAATCCGTTAGTTATATTCCCAGTTTGAGAGGTACCATGGGGATTAATACTAAATCAGTCTTACTTAACATCTTTATTGATAAAGTGGAAGAGAATAAACAGTATGTCTGTGACACTGACGGATATGCTAACTTGGGAGGAGCTGTAAATATAGCAAGAACAGAGAAATAATACAAAGGGTCC